AATGGAAATAATTTATTAAAAATATAATGAACTTTTGCTGAAATGTGTTTGAAAAGCATTTACAATTTTGACCCAATTTCATTAAAATTCACTAAATTTCATTATAATTTCAGTAATATTTCAGTAATATTTTAGTAAAAATGTAGAAAAATTCAGTGAAAAATCATTATTAATTCAAATAGATTGAGAAAAATATAATGAAGTATTATTTTGTCTAAATAATAAAAAAACTGGCATTTCATATTTTGTGTCGTTTCATTTATTTGTGAGATTCGCGTGGGATTCGATCCCGTGTCACACACAATCACCCTATCTTTAGATGACTATGCGCTGTTCAATGCCTAAACCTCAACGATCGTACGGGAACTGGTAATGGCAATGCGCTGTAATGATATCGTGGTGAATTGTATTTACAATATACTCTTATAACGTTAAAAAATGTAATGACATATTTGTCGGTAAATGTTTCAAAGGACATAACAACAATCACAATGCGATTAATATTGATATAATGTTGTATAACTAATCAAACTTTAACATACAATGTGCTCGCAAAAGAGAGAAAATATTCTTTCTTTCTCTCTCTTTTGCGAGCACGAGATATGTTTAAATTTAATTAGTTATACAACATTGTGTCAATATTAATCGTATTGTGATTGTTGTTACGTCTTTTGAAACATTTACCGACAAATATGTCATTACATTTTTGAACGCTGTAAGAGTATATTGTAAATATAATCTTCCACGATATCGTTACAGCGCATTGGTATTACTAGTTCCAAATGGGGTGACCGTATGTAACACGGGATCGAATCTCACAAATAAATGAAACGACACAAAATATAAAATACCAGTTTTTTTATTATTTAGACAAAATAACACTTCATTATACTTTTTTCAATCTATTTTAATTAATAATGATTTTTCATTAATGATTTTTAATTAATAGTGAATTTTTCTACATTTTTACTAAAATATTACTGAAATATTAATGAAATTTTAATGAAATTGGGTCAAAATTGTGAATGCTTTTTAAACGCATTTCATTATATTTTCAATAAATTATTTCTATCAGATACAAATATCTCAATTGAGGTCTTACATGCGAAATTTTGCGGAAACCGCATTTGAGAATTCAACTGAGAATTGAATTGGGAATTCTATTATTATCTCAACAGAAATTTTTCAATAGGAAAGTTACGAGTTTTACGATTTTGTCTAGAATTGTAGTATTAATTTCGTGTTTTTTACGTTATATTCATACGACATTTACACAATCGTTTCATATGTTTTATCGTGTATTGTATAAGAAAACATTGCGTTTAGCGTTAAATATAATGTACAAACACGGGTTGAAAACTTTTTGCCCGCGAAAGACTGATAACTTGGAAAGTCGAGTAGAGTTTCGTGGAATAGGACTATTACACTTTGCAATTTGAAGATGCTGACAAATAATGACAAATGATATTTGTTCTTTAAAAATTTGTACGTAATGAAAATGAAGAAAGAAAAAAGAAAATTGAAAATTGTTTGCGCACGGACACATATGTATATATACGTCACGTGTGTATACACAGGCATCTTTAAATAAATTCTCCCATGGTAAGTGGTTTATAATTTGCAACAGACTGTTTTGTAAGTTTCATCACACGGTATATCGTACGTCTGCCATATGAAACAATAACAATACCGAAAATCTATTCATGAAGTAATCCCCTAATAGCACAAATCTTCCAGAGACATTCTAAAGACGTTCAGAGGACGTTCTAATGTCCTAAAAACGTCCACAGGATATTCATAGAATATCGGTTGCTTTCCAACAAGAGACACAAGTCGACACAAGTATCATCCTATCTTTGTTACTCACTAAATGTGGAACAAAGATAAAATGATGTTTGTGCCAACTTGTATCTCTTGTTGGAAAGCAACCATCGTGTGTTATCTGGGTCGGTATTTTCACAATACCAGCGTGCGCGCAAAACGACGTGCGTTTTTTTTACCGACACTCGATGTGCAATCAATGTTCGATTGCGTTTTGAACAACAGTCGACTAGAAGTATCGAATTCACAACACACGAGAGATAACTGTTTGTTTCTCTTTTACCTATTTTTTCTCTTTTTTCTTTATTATTAAGATATTATTAATAAAAGATTATTAGAGTTGAGAAAGAGCTCTCTTTGTAATAAGTTTTTAATGAAAGTCAATGGTTTTAGTTACGTGAATAAATTTTCCGGTTGATGGAAAAGATCGATGATCTTAGAATGCGAGCTGGGTCGATCGTTCACTCCTCTCGAATACAACGTTGTTCCGGCGACTTCAACTTCAACTTCAATATTTGGTTCCAGGCTTCTTTAAGAGTTATGTCTCAAACGCCATTATTCCGATTTATGATAGATTTCGAGAGTAGTCTTGAAAAATTCCAAGGCACGTTCCAAACAATCAAGGTCTGGACTTATTCGAATACGTCTTGTCGTGACGGCGTTTAGGCCAGGACTCCAATTGTTCCGATTCCGGCGGCGATTCTGTTCAGTGCGCGATGTAAACAAATGACATGTACTGCTCACGGTAGTCTGTTCTTTCCAGCTGCACTGCTGAACTGGTGCAATAAGTTAGAGTGAGAAAACATATACTTGTCTCACTTTAACTTGCACCAGTTTAGCAGTGCAGCTGAAAAGAACAGACCAAGTGACAGGCGTTGTCTGCACGTCATTCCTATGGCAACGTAAAAGTTAGGTTAGGTTAGGTTAAGTAGGCGCTTGTAATTTCTCTCTCTCTCTCTCTCTTCAGCTGCAGGCCGAACTCATTGGCCCTTTCACCATATATTTGTTATGGCGCTTTTAATTTGCGACAGAGAAGAGAAGGAGAAAGGTTTTAAGCTGGTCACACACACTTTTCGTAACAGCAGAGAAAAACATGAGAGCGACTACCGGCAGTGATGAATTTTTGCAAGATGTTCGCCGTCCCAGGAAGCTTCGTGCGCATGCGTAAACTGACGTTACAGGTAGAAATCAGCTGTGTTCAGGGTAGCGATCATGAATCTTTCACGTGAACTTCATTTTTCACTTTTCACTGTAAATTTCACGTGAAAAGTGAATAATAAAAATGTGGAAAACAATATTTATGTAATATAGATTATTAAAATTAAAATGTAATTACAGTATACACAATGTAATATATAACACATTAATAAGCATTATACAACTTAAATTTATGGGACCCGATTGACCACGATATGATTGGACACAGATTGTAATGATTGGTTCGACCTAGTAATTCACTAGATAATTCTTTTCATTGGTTGGTTGTGTCCAATCGTACCGTAGTCAATCGGAACGCTTCCTAAATTTATAGTTATAATATAATATAATAATATAACGGCTGTTTACGATAATTCAAGTTGGAGTAAGTACGAGTTAGTTTCACTAGGGCCGAGAAATATGATAGACACAAGCATCTAGTATTTTCATGATTTATGACAACTCAATGCTGTCCGATAAATCGAGTAGAGTTAGAGTAGTATAGCGTATAGTATATACACACAGTATTCGTTTCATAAAAAAATTTGTAAAAAAATTATAAAAAAAATTCAATACAAAAATTCTACACAATATCCTTATTCCTAAAAAAAGACTTTAAAAAATAAACAAAGTTAAAGATAATTATTCTTAGATGTATAAAAAGAATTGTAAAAAAAACTCAACACAAAAATTCCATACAATATTTCTAAAAAGACTCTAGAAAATATAAAAAAATATTCAGGAAAAATATTTAATTTTGTAAAAAAAATCTTCTTAAAAAAATAGTGAAATTAAAAAGTTGCGTCAAATAATGCAAAAGTATGTTGTACGAAATATACACAGAGAGAACGATTTGTTGAATCAAAGAAATGTTTCTTTGGAATGGATCAAACAAATATTTTTTTGGTTGACCGAATAAAGATTTGGTTGACTCAACAAAAACATTTTATTGCAACTAAGCTGCAACTAAATATTTTTGTTGCGTCAAACAAAACTTTGTTCCATCAATCAACAAATTTGTTTGATCCATTCCAAAGAAGTCTTTGTTTCATTCAACGAAGTTGTTCTATCTGTGTAACAAACGAAGCAGCAAAGAAAAAATAATAAATAATAAAAATAAAATTTAAAATAATTAAGAAATGAGAAATAAGATTTATACAAAAACACTTGGCGTGCCTAAATGCATTAACAAAAAAGTCGCAATAGATTGTGCATTCCAATTTTCAGTAATTGTTTTAATGCATTTTTGGGAACGCCAAGTGTTTTTGTATAAATCTTAATTTTATTTTTCATTTCTTAATTATTTTAAATTATTTTATTTTTATTATTTATTATTTTTTCTTTGCTGCTTCGTTTGTTACACAGAGAGAATGATTTCGTCTATTTGGATAATAATCATCTACTAATGATGGGCAAAACATTTGTGGACTCCTTGTCAAGATTTTCAATTTCTTTACAGCCTTTCAATTTTCTAGATCGAATTTGATTAACATCTAACCATTTAATAGTTGTATTTGGGTCAGTTCCATATAAAGGATACATAACAATGTATCAGCAGCTTCCAGCGCTCCACATTCTCTATTATTTATAAATCGCAATGCAATATTCCAAAGAAAACTTGCTAATGATTTATTTGTATTATTTTTAGTATTAAGTATAGTATCAGACAATTCACATTTCCCGGCTTTATTCATATACTTAGTAACCAAATCCATATACTTAGTACCAAGTAAGTAATGATGATTTTTCACCAATAAATTGTATATCCATATTTCCTTCCCATGCCGTTAAAATAACAGGATTATAATCATTTATATTGACCTCATCATCAGTTCGAGGAAGATCATAAAGTCTACTTCTGTGTCTTAATTTTTTTCTACCTGCTATCGAACGTGCAAGATCATTTGAAATACGTCAGTAACAAGACGAGGAAATCCGAAACAATATCTGCGTACTACTTTACGTCCTATTTTTTTTTAGAACGGAGACAATAGTCATTATGTTTATGTTGTTGATGCGTATCAACATGTTTGTATAGTAATGATGCAACGTTTCGATCTGGCTTTATACAGCTCACATGTTGTAAAATAAATTTAGAAACTTCTTCCTCAGAAGATTCACCTATAATGGGCGCATTTTTTATCCATATCAACAAATGAAAATGTTGCACACCTCTACCTTGATATTCTCATCTCCAAAAATAATGTGTTACTTTTCCAATAGGATGATCTGAAGAACAAATAAAATCAAGCATTGCACGAAACTTATTATCGAGAAGCCTCGATGTGGACACAGGATCTTTAGCAACAAATGTACTGACATTTAATGAAGAATTAAGCCATCCATTTACTTCACGAATATATTGCCCTAAATCTTCCCATAACTATTCACTTGGACTTAATGTTAGAAACCATGTCGCTGGTCCATAATACCGTGTCATACATTCCAAATTGTTTCTCGGTCTATGCCAATATTGTTCCGTATTTCGAAGTGCGGAAAATATTGTATTTAAGTTAGATTCCAACAGTTGTTTAGACAATGCTTCTAAATATTCTCCTGCTGTGTAACATTGTCGTGAATCAATTATATTCATTTTGTGATAAATTCCACGACTTAACTGACGTATATTTGCATTGTTCAATAAATAAAATATATATTGCTGATTTAATCTAAAATGCGAATGTTTTGATGTCAAACGACATTTAATAAATTCATGATCGTGAAGTTTAACCTGTCTAATTTCATGTTGTCCATTAATACCAAACGGGTATAAATCGGGAAAACACAATATATCTAAATATTTTTCTCGATTATCAAGAAATACATTCTTCACTTTTAACATTTGATACAAATCTGTTGCTATTTTATTAATTCTTTTTTCATATAACGGATGTATGGTGTATTGTTCGTAATAACTATCATTTTAATTAATAACCTGAGTTAACATTGGGTCACCTTTATCATTCAATTCAGTTTCTGTGTCAAATCCTGTTCCTTGTATTTGAAATTCTGCATTATTTAATTGTTCTACATGTAATTTATTATGAGTATTTGGTAATACAATACGAGAATAAAAACGATTATTTTGTTTCAACCATTTTAAAGCGTCAAATACTTTTTTAATGTTCACCACTTCTTCCCAAATAATTTTTTATTTTGTCGGAATATCTCTAACTAAGATGTATAACTCATAGTTAATATTTATAGGGTCAGTATTAGTACATAATTTGTTCAATGTTTCTTGCAAAGAAAGTGGAAAATGAAATGTTCTACCTTTGACTTTTGGTATCATTTGCCTTTGGGGTAGTTTTTTATTAATAATAGTTCCCATTTTAAAAACAGTTTGGAATGCTTTAGAAAATACACGTTTATTGTATGAAAATGATAAAAAATATTTTATTCGAAGTATTGCCCACCGCTAGCTATACATTTTTCCCATCTGTCTGATAATTTGTGGATGCTACGCCAAAAAAACTGTTGCTCTTTTGAGGCAAACCAGTCATCGAGCCATTTTCGTACATTTTCGTAAGAAGTGAAGCGCTGCTTAGCAAGTGCGTGTCCCATCGATGCAAATAAATAGTAATCGGACGGAGCCAAGTCTGGATAAGCCGCATGCGAAAGTATTTCCCAACTGAACGCCTCAATCGTTTCCTTGACCAGTTTTGCTGTGTGTGATGGTGCATTATCATGAAGCAAAATCACTTTGTGTTGCCTTTTTTTATATTCTGGTCGTTTTTCACGCAAAGCTTGATTCAAATCGATCATTTGTTGTCGGTAGCGTTCAGTATTAACGGTTTGGCCAGGTTTTAGCAGCTCATAATAGATCACACCCTTCTGATCCCACCAAACACAGAGCATTGTCTTCCGTCCATAGCGATTTGGCCTTGCAGTCGATGTCGATGGTTCGCCTGGAGTTACCCATGATCTTTTACGCTTAGGATTCTCAAAATATATCCACTTTTCATCGCCAGTCACAATTCGATGGAGAAATGACTTTCTTTTGTACCTGGCGAGCAGCATTTCGCAAGTGGTTTTTCGGTTTTCCTGCTGTCTTTCATTCAGTTCATGTGGAACCCATTTTCCCATCTTCTGGATCTTTCCCATGGCTTTCAAACGTATGGAGACGACTTCTCGTATCACATTTAATTGATCCGCGAGTTGTTGCGTTTGAGTGTCATCCTCATTCAACAATGCTTGCAATTCGCTGTTTTCAAACTTTTTCGGTGGTCTTCCACGTTCTTCGTTTCTCACGTCAAAATCGCCACTTTTGAATTTTTTAAACCACTCAAAGCACTGTGATTTACCAAGAGCATGCTCACCGTAAGCTTCGACAAGCATTCGATGCGATTCTGCAGCAGTTTTCTTCAAATGGTAACAGAAAATCAATGCTGTCCGCAAATCGTAGTTTCCAGGCACAAAATTCGACATGTTCAACGCTATTACAAACTATGATGTGTATGAAACTTGTATTGTTGTGAGTTGAAAATCTTTGTCAAAGATGTCAACAAGGAAATGGCGCCAATGACGCGTTTGACAGTAACTACATTGACAGCTAGGGCCATCTATGGGCAAATTCCGGTTTCATATTTATAGACCTAGTATTGAACGTTTAGCCAAAACAGTAAAAGCATAAGAGCATTTAGAAATCATGTCATCGTCACTCATAGTGATACTATTATGCTGATATTTATACATATTTACTTTTTTTTTGTGCTAAAACTACAAATTCATTTAATTTATCCAAATCACAACAAGATAATGCTTTATGTATATTTAACATTTTCCGATAAAAATATATAATTTTATTAATTAAATGCCTAATATATCTTATTTTCGGAAAATGAGGCGATAATAATTGAACGGAATAAAACATTGCTTTACAAAATGTTGTATCAATATAGCAACTATGCGTGTGACCTAATTTTAAATTTGAAGTTTTTACCGTGCAATTATTTATACGCTCTATCAATCTCGGTATTTTATTCAATGTACGTATACTTACAGTTTCAAGAAAATTTTGATAACGTGTAATTAAGTTTGTATTAATTTTACAAAAATCATTGCACAACCATGATTTTGTTGCTTTTGCTGTTACCAAAGGCAACACATTTATTACCTGCCCTTCTTCATTATCAAAGATTGTGGCAGACTTGCAATACGATATATTGAATCGATAAAATAATTTTTTGATGAAGCAGTATGTCTGGGTTTTCCACATAATGCTTGTATTTTTTCATCATTTGTAGTACATTCAACAAGAAGAGTCAAACATACTTCCGATTTCTTTTTAAAAGAAGTTAATACTTTATAAATATTACGAACATATTCTTTTCTAACATACATACACAAACGTACAATTTTTTCAGCTTTTATTTTCTTTTTAATATGACATTTGATATTAAGTTTTTCAAAGATATTTCTAATAAATATATCCGTAAAACCACAAATTTTTATTGAATTTATAGACTTACAGATGTTTTTATATTTTTTAATTATTTTTTTAACAATATTATATAGTTGCTCAGTAGTTTCTTTTTCTTTCGATTACATTGCGAGTTTTTATAACACATTCGTTTTCCTGCTGGTTGATTTACAAAATCTTCTTGACATCGAGTTCGTTTTACGGCATAGTTACTTTTAAAATTGGACAAGTAACGAACTCGATTGTCCATACGTTGATTTTCTATATCTCGCAATTTTTCCTGTACATTAATATATTCTAATGAAACACTATTTTGAAAAAGAGTTTTGTTAGCACATTTGTTTTCATTATCTTTATCAATGTTGCAAATTTAAATATTATTTTTTTCATTGCTAATACACAATTTATTATTATTTATTTGACAGTCAACATTTGATTTATTTTTAGAACGTTTAATATCTCTGACTTTTATTAGTCGATTTAATATCTTTTGTTCGGTCTCACTTTCACGTATTATACATACACGAGATGCTTCCATTTCTCTTGATTGTATTACTGCTAATGGAAACACTTTCTGAGGAACACCGTATTGCAAATCTTGAGGAAAGTGTTCGATTACATTTGATTCAAAAATTTTAAGTAAATGCGAACGCATTAGAATATGATTATATCTTACTTTTTCGGGTTTAACATGGAATAATATGAAAATCACAAAAGCTATGGCAAAAACATCACAATCACTACCGTTAGATTGCTGTTGTATAATCGAAAACTTAACAGGACGCTTAAACGAATAATTTGGAAATAATCTACTTAAAAATTGTTTATGATGTTCGTGCAATTTTTTTTTATTATTATTAATTTTTATTACCAGCAGCACCAGCAGCACCAGCAACAGCACCTGCAACACCAGCAGCAGTTGCAACACCAGCAGCACCAGCAGCATCACTTTCATCACCAGCAGCAGCACCAGCACCACCTGCGACACCAGCAACATTTGCAAAACCAGCAGAACCACATCCAACACCAGCAGCAACACCAACAGCACCAGCAACACGAGCAGCATCAGCAGAACAAGCAGTAACATCTCCATCACCAGCAACAGCAGCACCAGCAACACCACCAGCAGCAGCAGCAGCACCACTAGCAGCACCACCAGCACCAGCAGTACCTCCTCCACCACCAGCAGCAGCACCTGCAACACCAGCAGCACTTGCAACACCAGCAGCACCAGCAGCAGCACCAGCACTACAAGCAGCAGCACCTGAAACACGAGTATCACCAACAGCAGTACCTGAAACACCAGCAGCACAAGCAGCACCAGCAGCAATACCAGCAGCACCAGCAGCAGGACCAGCAGAAGCAGCACGTTCACCATTAGCAGCAGCAAAGTAGCACCACCATTTTTTTTTTATAACCCAGGGGAAATGCGTTACGCATCCCCCTTCGGTTCGGATAAGCCTCCGGGGGTATGTGGGACTCCCTTCCCCTAATAAAAGGGGGGAAGTATACCCACTAAAACCCTTGGGGATGTCCATCACGTGCGCCATTATTCGAGGACCTCCCGGTACACTTTCTAGTATTCTTCAGAGGGTTCTCGGCGCCTTCGCACTTGCGCGCTTCTTCCCGCGCCAGCCTAGTAGGCCGGCGCTTTTATATTCCTTTTCGGCTGCAAGGAGGGGACACCTTCCTCCTCGCAGCCCCTCCCTCCGAGTCGAGAGGTTGGGATGGGCCGGGAGCAGGATTACCCGCCCTCTCCCGACCCCCTCCCCTTCCCCCCCTCGGGGGGAGGTGGGTCTGCCATAGTGGCCAATCATCGCTCCCTCCGGGGGGGGAGCCCGCTGGGGCCGCCCCTTCCAATGGGCGGCCCGGGTAAGCGCACTTAACCGCACCCACCCTCGTGACCGGGCTTGAGCCGGGGCACGATATTATGGCCTTTCGGCCTTCCTCATACCCAGACGGTGCCACCCCCGAGAATGGGGTAGTGGTTACCCCTCAGCAGCACCAGCAACAGCAACAGCAACCTCCCGGAGACGAACACCGCCCGGCTCACCCTCATCTGATCCCACCCGCTCCCCCCAAGCGAAATAGGGGGAGCTGGTGGGCCCTCAGTCGCCTACCCCTCCACGGTCTCAGTACCCGAGGAGGGGTACCTCTTCCACCTCCTCCTCCCCACTCCCCCGCCCGTCATCCACCGACGTGGCGGGGGGAGAGGGGGAAAGGGGAACAGGGGGTGAAGCGACTTCCACCTCTCCCCTCCTCACGCGTTCGGCGGCCTCCTTCTGCGACATAACGTCGCAGACAGAAGGAGGCCACCGCCTCCTATGCTTCCCGGCTCTCGAGCATCTTTGGTACGATGCTTGGGAGCCGGAGATCCTGGCCGACCATTGTAGTGAGGACTCCGCGTTCCTGAGTCCACGCTGGGCATTCTTGCAGCATGTGCTTTGCGGAGTCCTCACTAGCCGCGCAGTGGCGGCACTGTGCCGTGCGCTCTTTGCCTATTCGACACAGGTATCGACCGAAGCAGCCGTGTCCGGTCAACACCTGTGTCATATGGTATGACAACCCGCCATGTGCCCTGCCCACCCATTGCAGCAGGCAAGGACCGACGATATCTCTGAGCGTTATCTAGGAAGAGGAGAGTGTCGTGAGCGTGGAGCGTCAGGTAGCTCAGTAGTTTAGAGCAGTCGCCCGGCAAGCGAAAGACCACGGTTCGAGTCCCGGCCTAGCAAGACCGCGCTCTCGATATTTTTCTCTTTCTGGAACGAAAAAGATACGCAGATCTCGAACGCACGGCGTCCCGCCGCCACCTAGTATGCCCTCCTCCTTCTATGGTCCAGACCGCGATGGTCCGGATTCCCGGCGTGTTCAGGGCCTCCAGTGATCTTTGCCATCGCCAGAGGGCTCCACGCCGGGCCGAGTCGCGTATTCTCTGTACGTCCCTGGCTGTGAGCAAATGGTCATCCTCTCGCCGGCGGAGCTCCGCGACCCTGTTGTACGTTTTAGCGTACAACCGCGCCAGGAGCTCCGCCGGTATTATGCCGGCCAGGGCCGTGACGGCTGCATGCAACACTGTCCTATACGCCTTGATTAAGCGGGTGGCCATTAGACGCTGCGCACCGTGCAAAATTGCTACGATGCGCCGCTTGGCCCTCGTCTCTCCCGCCCAAACTGGCGCCCCATAAAGGACGTAGGACGAGACGGCGTTCGAATACAGCCTGCGAACCCGGTTGTCCGGACCACCGATGTTGGCGAGGAGGCTGCACAGTGCAGCCGCGACTCTCCCCAACTTGGGACCCAGTCTCTCAAAGTGAGAGGTGAAGTCCCACTGGCCATCCTGGTGGAGCCCCAGGTATTTGATGCCTGGAGTTACCTCCACGCGGGCTGACTCTATCATAATGCTGGACCTCGGGGGCACCCTCGCTGACCTATCGTACACGAACATACACTCGGTCTTTTGGGAGGCCACCCGGAGGTCCAGCTTCCATATCGAGCTTATGGCACACGCCACAGCCGTGTTGGCAGTGGCCGTAGCCTCCTCCCAGTCGATGCCTCTCGCCAGCACCAGGGTGCCGTCTGCGTAGCAGATCATGGTGCAGGCGGAGGGAGGGCCGTTCGCAGAACGCGGTCGTACGCGAGATTCCAAAGTAGGGGTCCAAATACCGACTCCTGCGGAATCCCGCAGTACATTGCCCGTCCGCATTGGAGTCCAACAGCGTTGCTGAACTCCAATTTCCTCTCCCGGAAGTAGTCCCGTATGATATGGACCAGGTAGGGCGGGAAGCGGTGAAAGCTCTACCTGGTAGCACCACTAGCAGCACCAGCACTATCAGCAGCACAAGCAGCACCAGCAATAGCACCTGTAACACCAGCAGCAGTTGCAATACCAGTAGCACCAGCAACACCACATCCAACATCAGCAGCAGCACCTGCAGAACCAACAACACCAGCAGCAACAGCAGCACCAGCAGCACCAGTAGAGCAAGCGATACCACCCCCACCACCAGCAGCAGCACCAGCAGCAGCACCAGCAGCACCAGCAGCACTAGCAGCATCACCAGCAGCATCACCAGCACCACCAGAAGCAGCACGTCCACCACCACCTGGAGCAAAGTAGTACCAGCAGCAGCACCAGAAACATCACCAGCAACACCAGCAGCACCACGAGCACCATCAGCAGCACCAGCAGCACCAGCAACAGCACCTATAACATTAGCAGCAGTTGCAACACCAGTAGCACCAGCAACACCACATCCAACACCAGCAGCAGCACTTGCAGAATTAACAAAACCAACAACACCAGCAGCAACAGCAGCACCAGCAACACCAGCAGCACCACTAGCAGCACCACCAGCAGCACCACTAGCAGCACCACAAGCAGCAGCACCAACATAACAAGCAGCAGCACCTGAAACACGAGCATCACCAGCAGCAGTACCTGAAACACCAGCAGCACAAGCAGAACCAGCAGCACCACCAGCAACACCAGCAGCAGGACCAGCACCACCTGCAACACCAGCAATAGCACCTGCAGAACCTACAACACCAACAGCAACAGCAGCACCAGCAACACCAGCAGACGCACCAGCAGCACTAGCAGCACCAGCAGCAGCACCAGCAGCACCAGCAGCACCAGCAGCACCAGCAGCAGCATCAGCAGAAGCGGCACGTCCACCACCAGAAGCAGCGAAGTAGACCACCAGCAGCACCAGAAACATCACCAGCAGCATCAGCAGCACCACCAGCACTATCAGCAGCACCACCAGCACCAGCAGCAGTATCAGCAGCACCAGCAGCACTAGCAACAGCACCTGCAACACCAGCAATAGCACCTGCAGAACCTACAACACCAACAGCAGCACCAGCAACACCAGCAGCAGCATCAGCAGAGCAGTTAGTGTGAAGCCCGACACCCATAGAGTGTCGCGCTTTGCTCCCTCAGCCGTGAAGGCTATACGCAACTTGCTACCATCTACCTCTACCGTTTGTCAACCACTGACAGGGGAAGGGCGATGGAAAAATCCAGCAGCGCCTGCGGGACGTGTTCGCAGGATGAGCGGTTTAGCCGTGACGCGCGCGCCGCCTGCCCTTGTGGCTGCAGCGCGCGCCCCACGCCCACGGGGACCACGGGGAGGCTCGCTCACTAGTGTCTCGCTTAGACTCACGCTCTGACCCTTTTGGATGGGAGGGGAACGAAAGAGGAGTGGGTATTAGGTATGGGTGACGGAGGTGGGAACCTGAAAAGAAGAAATATTTATTAATTAAGTTTTCCCTGACTCAGCGTCCCGGGTCCACGGTGATCTCGCAAAGGTTGCGAGGCCGTTTACCCATGGCCGAGGGCTCCGACATCCCCGGGTAGGCCGCTGTGAAATCTAATATGGACCCTTTAAAAAGAGGGTTTCCCGACAGAAGGCCGGGAACGTGGTGTAGGCCTCTGGAGTCGACACGAAGTAGTGTGCCGCCTCCGGCTACCTCCAGCTCGCGGCCGGAACGACCTCCCGAAGAGCCTCCCGCTGCGGCTCGAATTCGGGACAGCACAGAAGGTGGTGCGCGGCCGTGTCGCTTCCCTCCCCACAAACACACATCCCACCTTTCACAAGGCCCAAAGACGCAAGACGTGCCTGGAACCTGCCGTGTCCGGTGATCATTTGTGTCACGTGGTGGTCAGGGCGGACCCACCGCGCATCAACCCTGCGCTCTACGTTACTAAAGAAGGCGTACGTGGTGCGACCTTTGCTCGAAGAAGACCATCGAGCCTGCCACACCTTGTACGCCTGGCCCCTAATGAGACCTTGAGTCTCTTTAATATTCCCGGTAAACGGGATTACTACATTACCTAACCTGGCATCCATCCCTTTCCTTGCCATATACCGCGCAGAATATTCGCCGAGAAGGATGTCGACGGGGACCGCGCCAGCAACCACGCAGAGCGACTCCGTCGACGCCGTGCGGTACGCAGCGGTCGTCGAGATGAGCGCTCGGCGCTGCAGGGTCCTGAGAACCTTCAGGTCAGCCCCCGCGCACAGGTCGGCCCACCCGGCAGCGGCGTAAACCACCGTCCGCGCGAACACGCCCCGGTAAATTGCGGAGAGCGCACTAAAGCGCAATCCCCACCGACATCCCACCATCCTAGCTAGTTTACTAAAGAGCGACCCGACCTTGTCGCTCAAGTATCTACAATGGAAGGATACTCCCATGTCCTTGTCAAAATGGATTCCAAGATACCTGACTGTTTTCTTAAATGCTATCTTTTCGTTTCCTAAGCGAATGGTCGGTGGTCTTGCCGCGAGATCTGTCTTCTTGGCCCAGTGGGCTTTGCGTTTACGGTTCGGACGCGCTCCTCCCCGTCTACTGATGGGGACCCTCCTGACCGGCTCGCTCCTGAGGACAATTGCCTCAGTCTTGCGCGATGAGATCTGGAGTTTAGCCCCCTCGCACCAGTTTCTAACTATATTCGCTACTAGTTGCCCTCTTTCTTCTAATTCTCTGCGCGAGTCGCCTTCGACCGTGACCAAAAGGTCGTCGGCGTATGCGATAAAGGACCTACCTATTTCCGTCTCTAGTTCGCGGAGAAGCCCGTCGAATATAATTGTCCAGCACGCTGGGCCTAAAACCGAACCTTGAGGGCAACCTCTGCTCGCGTCCTTGGAGACTCGAATGTCTCCAAAGGACACGCTGACCTTCCTATCGCTAAAATAACTTCGGAGAACCTGGAAGATATTTCGAGGACAGCCTAGCCTCTTCCAGGTCTCCAGGACTAGAGGCCACCAGACATTATCGAAGGCTCCGGCTATGTCGAAGAGCAGCGCAAAGACGTATCTCCGCTCAGAGGCAGAGACCATCCGACGCAGCTCAACGATCGCGTCCTCCGTCGACCTTCCGGCCATGAAGCCGAACTGCCGATCAGAGAGTCTCCCCGGCGCCATCGACGTCCGGTTGAGTCGCTTCTTCAGAAGCTTCTCGAAGAATTTCCCTACGACGGAGAGGAGACAAATGGGCCTGTATGATTTAGGGTCTTTCACGTCCTTACCCTCGCCCTTCAGGAAGACTCTAAGTGAGCCCTCCTTCCAGATCGAGGGAAAGACGCCCCAAGGCACCCGTTGAAAAGCCTAACAAACTGACCGGGGATTACCTTAATGGCGGTCTTTAGCGCTGCAACCTCAACGAGGTCCAGGCCAGGCGCCTTCCTGACTTTCAGGGTTTTCGCGACGGCGACGATTTCTGCCTCCGTGAAGAGCGGGGCATCGTCTCCGTCGGGCGCGATGAACGCGCTTCCCCTGATTTCACGCTGCATCGGCGTGTCGTCGTTCGCCCGGTCATCAGGGACGTGCACCTTCAGCAGGTGCCTGGCGGTCTCCTCTATGGTGGTGGTCGAGGAGCCATCATCGCGGCGGAGGCTGCTGAGCACTTCGTCAACTCGGAGCTTCCGGGCCTCGCGTTTGTACACGAATCCCCAAGGCTCCGAGTTTCCCACCTCCGTCACGAATTTCCGCCAGCTGTCGCGCTTCGCCTTCCGCACCTCTCTCGTGTACCTCCTCAAAGAAGAGAGGTAGGCACTTCGGCCGGAGGCACTGAGCGGCTCAGCGTTTTCCCGCTGGAAGGCACGCCGCGCCCTATAGACGTCCTTCTTCAGGATCGTCAATTGTCTTGTCCACCACAGGTTGGACTTTCTAAAACGCCTCTTCCTGGGCATTTCCCGTTCCGAGGCTTCGAATAAATTTCAGAAATGGACCTCGCGAAGCCCTCCCCCCCCCCCCCCAGCGGAATCCAAACTGAGGACCTCAAGTCTCGACGCCGAAAGGTCGATGAGGCTATCGGCGTACTTCTCCCAGTCGGCATGACTCGCGTCGAACCGAGAGCTGGAGGTAAGCCGGTCATTGCCTCTGACTCTCGGCACCCTCAGACGGATGTCCAGGGCACTGTGGTCTCTCGTCGTCCAGTCGCACCTGACCTTCCACTAGCCGAAGAATTGGCTCATGGCCGGAGTCGCCAGGGTCACGTCAATATATGACGATCCCCATGACGTCCAGTAGGTCGGCGACTGTCCGAGAGCGTTGAGGATTTTCCATCCGCAAGCGCGGATGAATTCCTCGAGCTTCGCGCCCCTATCGTTTACCATGCGGTCACCCCACATCGGGGATCGCGCGTTGGCGTCCATGCCTATCAACAATCTCTTCCCCCTCAGCGAATGAAACACCGCCTCGAGGTGTCTGAGGTGCCCCTCAATCTCGTCGCTGTACTGGAAGTAGCACGATGCGACGTAGAAAGAGAAGCCGGGCGCCCGCACTTCCGCGCACGCACAGTGCGCGGTGCTGAGCTGCGAGATCTCCATGATATGGAACGAGGGGTTTGAAACTGCCACTGCAGCCCACGGACGTTCCGAGCGTGCAGCGGCCACCCTCGTTCCCTGCCCTAAACCGAGAATGGCGAAGCTCGAGCCTTGCTTCCGGACGTGCATTTCCTGCAAGAGCAGGACGTCCAGTC